CTCCCCAGTTCCTCTGCCGCCACTACTTCCTGGCAGCCGCCGGGAACTGCCGGACCGCCCCCCACGCGGAGCTATCATGAGCAGGTTAAACACCGCGATCCCCCTCCTCCGCCTTTGCCTCGGGAATCACAGTTCCGAAATCCCCCGATGCCGCCGCTTTCTTTGACAGATGAGATTACAGAATCATCGCAACCCCGCGATGAGTGGGAGCCCCATGTTCCTTCAGCCAGTCCCCGCATGGATATGGACATGGATCTGTCTTCGCCACCACAATCTCCTTCCCAGTCTTTTATGCCCCAGTTAGAAGCTGATCCCTACATACCACCACCTCAGTCTCTGCCAGCACAGAGTCAGATCCCACCACCACAGTCTTACCAGTCCCATTTGCAGTTGTCTCAGGCAGTTCCCCAGACTTTTTCAGACCCTCCCTCTTCAGCTGTTTCTCAGTCTTACCCAACCCAGTCCCAGCCTTATCAACCCATCTCCCAGTCATCCTCCCAACTAGGCCAGCCCATTGCAACATCAGTCTCCCAGCCTGAACCCCACTTCACTTCATCCCAGATTACTCAGACCACTTCTGAACCACCAGAATTAAGACTGAGTAGCGTCCCAGAGAAAGATGTTCAATGTGAGCAACAGCAAAGCAGCTCACGTGCAGATCTGTCCACAATGACCCCCCAGGTAAGGATGAAGTAGCCATTGCAATTGTCTCTACTTTTTCTACAAAGCTTTTTCCACTACAAAAGCTTTTTCATTATCTAGATAAGTGTCCTAATTATGAGATGTGTGTGTGTGTGTGTATATATATATATATATATATATATATATAGGACCAAATATTACAGTGGATTTTATTATAAACGGCAGGAAAGCATTAAATGCTTAAATGACTTAACTGCTCAGATTCCATAAAGGCCAGACTTTCATATGCTATTTGGGGAGTCCTTGGTGCTCCCTGAGCTTGGTTGTTTGCTTGCAAATGTTTCATTACCCAGCTAGGTAACATCAGTGTTCTGGTGGTGCAGTCAAGGCACTGACAATGTTACCTAGTTGGGTAATGAAATGTCTGCAAGCAAACAACCAAGCTCAGAGAGCACTAAGGACTAAGCACAGTTCAACCTTGAGCTACAGATATTCTCTTCTTTTGGATATGCTATTTGGTCAGTGGTTACTCAGAAATAGATCCTTTCAATAGTATGCCCCAGTTTTGGCATAACCTTCTATAATAATGATGGCTGACGTATACTGTACTATGTTTGGGGGAGGGAGGAAGGTTATCATTGCACAACAAATACCTTTTTATTTGTCAGACTTTTTTATTAAAAAGTGTGGCATTCTAATTTTATATCTGCTGTTTTGGTGTCTGCTACATTCCACACATGCATAAATACATACCCATAATGCTATTCCTTTTTAAGGTAAGCAACACTATACAAAGCACAGAAAAGAATTGCAAAATAGTAAGCTAAAGAAATCAAGTAAGCATAAAAGCATAAAGTAAGAAAAGGAAATACAGTTTAATCTAGTTTATACCAATACCATTCACTATATCTCTATACTTTATATCTTAGCAAACCATCCTGTCTTTCACTATGTTCACGCACTGCTTCATACTTTGCCTTTTCATCTTTAAAGATTGTGCCTCTCTCTGAGGGATCACCAACTCCATCCAAACACAAATTCCATGGCATTCCCTTTCTTCTTGACCATTTTGCCTTCATATATTTATTTGGCAATTTGTTCCTCATTCATTCTCTGTGTGTGACCAAACTGTCTCAACATATTCCTTTTGCACTGGCCACTCTTATATTCAATCAATATTTTATTGAACACTCATGTTCTTGACCCTATTTTTTTTTAGTTTATCACACATACTTCTTAAGTAATTATTTTGGCTGCAGTCAACTTACACTTACGTTTCTCCTGATGTATTCAACTCTTGCTTCTATGTGACAAAGTGACAGAAGCACACAACTGTATAAAGCTACTTAGCTTCAGTTGACCCTATTTTTTTTTAGTTTATCACACATACTTCTTAAGTAATTATTTTGGCTGCAGTCAACTTACACTTACGTTTCTCCTGATGTATTCAACTCTTGCTTCTATGTGACAAAGTGACAGAAGCACACAACTGTATACAGCTACTTAGCTTCAGTTGACAAACATTTATTCTGCGACAGACCACTTATATCCACTGTTTTTTATACAGTATATCCCCCCATTTTTCCAGAGTTAGCAAACATTCTACCAAAGTACACAATTCACTCCATTTTCCCTGTCAAACACAATTGCCTTGGTCTTAATGTATTAATTTTCAGATCCATATTCTTCATTGCACGTTAAAGCCTACTACTTATTGCAAGGCATTTGGGTTCTCAGCTAGCAAAATAATATCTGCACACAGAAGTACACAGCCACTCATATTCCCAACCAACATACCTCTGCTGTCAGCACAAAGCAATCCTTATACATTCATCCATAAATATGTTAAACAACCAAGGGCCTATCATATATTCATGTGTTCTGTAGAGATTTGGCTGGGTTTGTAGAATTTAGCCCTGAAAGCTAATCCTGTACTTAACTAACTTATCTTAGAAATCAATTCACTCTAAAGAGTCCCATATACATTTCAGTATGCTGGGACTCAGTTCAACAAATACTGAGGAATTAGATTACTAATTTCATTTGCTTCATTATTTCTTGATGAGTTCTAATCTAATACATTACCGAAAACCAGTTTGTTATTAACTTGAACAATAATAGTAGAATGAAAAACTCTTTTTATACTGGCTATGTATTTGCTATTATTTTCTGAGCGTGTGCAATATTATCTATTCAGTTATTTATTTTTTTTGTCTGCGCTCAGTCATTGCTGACCCTGCATTCAGTTATAGCTGCTAGTAATTATTTTAGTATTTTATTATTTATATGCTTATGCCTGGAATTAATCATTGATTCATGAATTAATCAAGCCTGTTACAGTCAGGTTACAAGCCAGGTTAAGCGCAACGGCTTAATGACGCTGAAAGTTGCTGGCCAGAAATGGTCGATGCTTCAGCAGTTCGAGTCCAGCCTTCGCATTAACAGGGTGAGCTCCTGTTTCCTCCCCAGTTCTTTCCACCCCAAAAGTCCAACAACTAAAGGAGGAGGATA